CCTCCCCTTGATCTTGTTCTTCCTCCCCTTTGGGTTTGCTCTTCATGTCAAAGTTGATAAAATTGTTAACTGACCTTCACTCTCCATCTCTGGAAATGTCTTAGAAACACAAAGACAATGCCAGATTTTTTCACAGCTCATCATTTTAAAGACACCAGGCAAACAACCGTCGTAAAAGTGAATTTATGTCTTTTTACAGGGTATATTTTTGAAGACCTTAATTTCTTTTTGTCTTTTATCCAGAGGGAAACTCATTGATAGGTAGGCCTATCACGATAACAAATTTTGCTGGGCGATTAATCTTCTCTGAAATTATTGCGATAAATGATATTGTTTGAAATTTGACAATAATTAGTAATTGTTGTCAAATTTAAGAAGAAATGTTGGTTAATTTTATTTTGAGTGTAGTACCTTTTTTGACCACTGGATGGCAGTACAAGACTGTTTGAACCAAAGGATGGATAGTGAGGGAGCGAGCAGCATGTCTCTTTAAGAAAAATGGGAGGGAGGCCCCTTGACGTGACATGGGCCTTCTCTTCTTCCTTTTTTTTCGGTTCTCAAAATAGCAGATGCTCTGTGTGGTTTGAGCTTTTTAGCATAGCATTTTTTACACAAAGCTTTTAATTAAAAAACAGTAAACAAGTTCTCAGCTTCTTTTTGCAGAGAAAGAGAACTTTTTACTTGAAGACACGGGTTTCAACTGTGAATTTTGGAGCTTCGACAAGACGGAGGTTGTTTTTCCTCGAGGTCCGTCTGTTAGCTTAGCTCGTAGCTTAGCTTCTCAGCTTAGCTTCTCAGCTTAGCTGATTTTAACCATCCAAAAATGCGATTTTGGATGGCCTTCTTCAGCTGTCGCTTCCTGCGACAGCTGAATAAGGCCAAGCTGCCGGCCAAGCTGATGGTGCAGTTCTACACGGCCATCATCGAGTCCATCCTCAGCTCCTCCATCACGGTGTGGTACACCGGGGCCACTGCCAGGGACAGACTCAGACTGCAGCGCGTTGTGCGCTCAGCTGAGAAGGTGATCGGCTGCAGCCTTCCATCCCTCCACGACCTGTACGTCTCCAGGACTGTGAGGCGAGCAGGTCGGATCACAGCTGACCCTGCTCACCCTGCACACGGACTGTTCAAACCACTCCCCTCTGGCAGGAGGCTTCGGTCCATTCGGACCAGAACCTCCCGCCATAAGAACAGTTTATTCCCCTCTGCTGTTGGGACTCCTGAACACTCATAATATTACCTCATAATTTCTGCTTTGGTCACGTTACATCTGTATTATAATTGAATACTCCATCTGTACTGTTTTCTATGTTTTTTTTATTGTTTTTTATTGTATGGGTGTACACATGTTTTTTGTTATGTTTTCATTTTTACTTTATTTTACTTTATTATTATTCGCACCTTTATGTCGAAGCAAATTCCTAGTTTGTGAACCTCGTTCATTGACATGGCAATAATAAACTGATTCTGAATAAACGGATTCTGATTAAAACGGATTTTAAAGAGATAAGAGAAAGGGAGCAGTCAGTGAAGAGCACCAGAGTTGAGCTTTTGTCATCCAGTGTCTTCAATAGAAAGAGAGAGACACGAAGAAACGATAAATCCGATAAATGGAAATTAGGTTGATAATTTTCATTTATCGTGCGATTAATTGATTTATTTTTTATTGTGACAGGACTATTGATAGGTCTACATTTGCCATTGCTGAACTTGCTGAACAATTATAGGTAAATATAAAGTATGCAACACATTTATTTTTCTAAATAGAATGCTTTGTCCGCAATTCAAAGACAAAATTTCAATCTACAATTATATATATCCACTAGTTTTTACATACCAAGAGATAGTTTAAGAAAGAACAAGCACCAGCAAGGATGACAGCTGAGTGGTTCGTGTTCTGAAGGGGGTTGTGTTTGTTTTTGTTTTATTTTACAGTCAGAGATTCATATTGTCCCACATCTAGCTTTAGTACAAAACTTGTATGCACAATATTTTTATTCAGGTTTGATTCTCTGCATCGTTTTAAGACTCACAGTAAATTCATTTGCTGTATGTCTGAATATCATTTGAGTGCTGCACCTGATGTATAAAAGCTGTGCTGTCTCATTTTCTAAACAAGTTAATACAGTTTATATTTGTGAGCTGAATCCTGCAGAAAGCTATTTTCTTTAATAAGTGGTCAAGAGTAAAGTTCTAGTAAGTTTATTCAGAGCTTGGAACCTGCTAAAGCTGTCCGTTTTGGGTTGAACTTGTTGTAGCGTCTTGTTCACGAGTGATGGAGCTGAAGGCCTCATCCTTGGTAAAGCGGGCGTTGAGTCGGTTGGTCGTGGTGAAGAAAGAGCTGAGTCAAAAGGCAAAGCTCTGTTTTTAAGTTTGATCATGACTGAAAGAAAGAGATCCTGTATACAAGTGGCTGAAATGAGCTTTCTTTCTAGGATAGACAGGTTCAGATTTAGAAAGGGGCGAAGAGCGGTGTTATCTGGGGGGGAGCGCGGAGTAGAGCCGCTGCTCCTTCACATCAAAAGGAGTCAGGTGAGGTGGTTTGGGCATCTGGTTCTGACTCCTGGATGCCTCCTTTTGGAGGTTTTCCAGGCATGTCCCACTAGGAAGAGGCCCCGAGCAGACCCAGATCTCACTAGAGGAGTTATGTATTTTCTCTGGTCTGGTAACGCCTTGTGCTCCCCCAGGAGTAGATGGGCAGTGTCACTGGGGACAGGGGTGTCTGGGTTTCTCTCCTGGACCTGTTGCCTCCGTGACCCGACCACAGACGGCAGTAAAAATAGAACTGGTTGTTCAGTTTACAGACTCTATATTTCATAGCTGTCATTTAATACAATTATAGTATTTTGAACATGATGTCATTTGATAAATTGACCATATCTATAATCGTATTACAGAGCTTGCACATGTTGCTTCAACAAATCATGAGCCATCATTTTATTTTTATTTATTTATTTATTTAATTTTAGCCTGCGACTGCTGTTTACTGGCAGAAGAACAAGTCCACCAAATTCTGTTCAAACCACGTGTTTACATTTATAAGCTGCTGGAAAGCTTTCTTTTAAGTTTTTTTGGGGGTAAAAAAAATAATAAAAAATTCCTCTGAAAATAAACATAAATCCGCCAGAAGCTCAGTTTTAGTTTGAATTTTATTGCTGCACGGTTCTGTGGGTATGTGTGTGGAGCTGGGACACAAAAAAAAATAATAGATTAAAAACATGAACATTTGCTGTTTAACAACCTGTGCAGAAAAAAAAAACTTGTTTCCAAAAGCAGGAACGCTCAGCATCTTCAGATGGTGTCGGTTAATCCACATTTAAAACCATTTTTCAACTAATTTCTCTGCTCCGTCCTCCGTCATCCCCTGACTCCGTCCTGTTCATGCAGCGCAGTGGCACTCACTCCCACTGACAGATTACCCTCCTAATGGAATTTAATTATTTATCCCTTCCTTGTGGCGATTTAGCCAGGAAAAGACCAACAGCATGGGTGTGCGGGGGGAACAGCGAAACTGGTGGGGGTGAAAAGGGAAGAGGAGAAGCGCTTATTTCCTCCAGCGAGTCTAGAAGGTGAATCACTTCAGGTTTGATTTGGGGAAATGTCATTTTGTGAGAGGAGAAACCAGAGCGAGGGGTAAGGAAAATGAAGAGGAAGACCGTGTAAATGAATGTATGAATTCAGTGCATAAGAAAACTGTGCACATAAACTATTTTTTCTCACATGACATTGGAATTATTATCTATAACTGTGAGATTTTCTGACCTGTTGGCTCTCCATGAAAAGTCTCAAGCAGGTGGGGCTTGAAATATTTTCCAGCAAAATGAGACGCTCTTTCAAGAAGTTGATCCAAAATCAGTTGCCTTTGATTTATATTTATATATA